GGGACAGGTGAGTGGGGATAAGGGACAGGTAAGTGGGGACAGGGACAGGTGAGCAGGGATAAGGGACAGGTGAGTGGGGACAGGACAGGTGAGTGGGGACAGGGACAGGTAGGGCTGCTGCCTGGCTTTGCTGGTGGCTGGCCTCTGAGTGAGTGTGAGGAGATGCTTGCTAACCAGTTTCAGGACAAGACAGAAATAAGGATTTTTATGTCCAGTCCTGGACCTTGAAGACCAGGCTCCTGTGGACGTGTAACCCACTGTCTGGTGATGGGCCCTGGGGCCTGGGACCACCCTCAGTCTGATCTTCTCAGAGCCACTCCTCCTCCCCATCCTGAAAGTCTGGGGGGGGGGGTCATGGAGGCAGGGACCTGAGTGACAGCATGGTAGGTTAGCGGGGACTCTTTCTGGGGTGTCCTCTCATATCCGGGACTGAAGGGAAGAAAGGTGGGCTATCATCCCTGGAGAGCTGAGCCAAGGGCTTGGGACACACTATGAATCACACTGCTGTCGTTAAGGCCATCGAGTTGGTTCTGACTCACAGCAACCCTGTATAGTTTCCAAGGAGCAGCTCGTTCGCAGTCCAGTGCTTATCCTACCGCACCACACCAGGCCCATGTCCTCCAAATATGTGTTCTAACTCCTAGTCCCTATAGGGATCCCCTGGGGGAGTGTTAACAAGGCCCCATAAGTCAGGGTGTGTCTTGGGCCAAACAATCCCTTTTGAGACCAAGGAAAGAAGATGGACATCACCCAGAGGAGGAAGCGGGGTTGGGGTGGGGGGAATAGAAGTCCCTGACATGAGAGTATCCACAAAACAGCAGAGCAAAAGCTAAGAGAAGCAGGTCTACCCCAGAGACCAACGCTCCAATCTGACCAAGGCCTCCTAAACTGTGAGAAAATCCATGAGTTTGTTATAGGCATTCTCTGGTGGTGTTTGTTACAGCCACAGCTGTTGGAGGGGTCAGTAGCGGGGACAGGCTGAGAGCAGGGCTGTGGGCATGGCCCTGGGAGGGCACAGGAACACTGGGAGTAAACCACGCCGTCAACTTACTTCCGCCACAAGGCCAGAGGCTGTTCGGGCTCTTTCTCAGCAGATCCCAAGGAGGCCACAAAGGCAAGGGGCCAGGCGAGCAGCATCATGAAGGCGGCAAACAGGAGCCGGATGGGGAAAAGGGTCAGCGTCATGAGGGTGAGCTGGGGAGAGAGGAGGGTGTTAGTCAGAAACGCTGCTGCCAAGAGGACGCAGGACATCCCCAACCTGGGGCCCATGGAGTTCACAGACTGCCCCGTGAGCAGGAGACATGATGCCAGCTCAAGACACATACCCACTGAACACTGTCTGCGTGCTGTAGCCCTCCCTCTCCTCATTACACTCCCGGTGTGAGGGGACCTGGGAATGAGGCAGGGCGTTTCCTTCTGCAAATCCATCCACGGAGGCTCCACCTGACTCACAGTCACTACCAGGGCCGCATGGGGAACCAGGGCTCCCAGCACATGGCCTCACACCCTTCTTAGCTTCCCCTGGAAGTCATTCATGAGCTTCCCCAGACACTCACAGGATGGCACGCCAAGTGACAGGGAACTCAAGACCCGACACAGGGCAGCTTTTCAGCCAGGAGCTCAGGAGACGCTCTATAGGGCGGGCAGCGGCCCAGGACAGATGGACACTGCTGCTGCTGTAGAAACTTTCCTCTTCCATGAGCTAGGATGAGGGGTTGGATTCCCAGCCAGCACACCTCATAGGCAGCCACCAGCCAGCAGAGGCTGGTGTGTTGCCATGACAACATGTGTACACATTACGTGCCGGTGACCACGATGCCAACATCCAGACCAAGGTTTTTATGGAGCCTTTGAAACACCACCCAAAAGCTACGGATCACAACGTGGTCCAATGTGCAGCTGATAAATAGGGACAGCGTAGAAATGGGCAATGCTTCTTGCTGTTGTCTATGGGGTCACCCTGAGTTGAGGGGCTGACTGAAGAGTAGTTAACACCATCACCAAAGCCTAGGAGAACTGAATGAGGTCCTAGTTTCAGGCTAAGAAGATGCCACGATGGGGCTCTAAGGTGCAGGGTTGGGGACAGTCCAGAAAATGGGAGAGAGGATGCAGAGATAATCTCCTGTGTCCACAGCCCAGAGGCGAACAGGGGGTCAAGGGTGGATGTGGGCTCAAGGAGATGGGAGTGTTGAGGGGTTGGGGGGTGGGGGTGTGTTGACAGGAGGCCCCAAACACCAAATACTTCAGTCATGTGCCCTGCGTACTGAAGGTGTTGTAGGATCAAGGTCTGAGGTTCAAATCCACCAGGCGCTCCTCGCAAACCCTACACAGGGTCGCTGAGTCACCAACTCGATGACTTAACAACAAACTATAATATACAAAACTACTGATGGTAACGCTTACAGAAATTGTCATGCTGATCATCCCTCCCCTACTCCACTTTCCAGCTCCCTAAGGGTCAAGTTCCTCACAAACAAGCAGAGAGCCAGAACACCAACAGCACCCCAATGCCCTGTGTATGTCCCTGCGAGGACATACTTACAATGCTGACCATGCCAACCCATGAACAAAGGACAGCCTCACCTCCCTCTCCTCCTGGTGAGGACTGGTCAGCACCCTGGTTGGAGCCTCCAGGGGCTGCGTCATGTGCTGCCTGCCTCATTGTTGACATAAATAAGCAAGACTTGCTACAGGTTGCCAGTAAATGCTCCTGAAATGAGCTCTTCCCCCCCCCCCCCACACACACACATACACATTTCTACTTTTCTTAGAGTTCGGTTTGTTGTAAAACACGAATGGGTGTTGAATTTCATCAAATGGGTCTCTTCTGCATCTACTGGGATAATTAGGTGCTTGGTCTCACTTAATCTGTTAATGTGATACAATACCCTAACAGTGTCTCTCCCTTTAAAAGCTGGTTTAGAGGGCTGCAAAGCTACCTGCTAGGATAGATTGTAAAGAGATTGCTGGCTTTGTTTACTAGCAGGTTTGGGATTGACAGACCCCTAGTTTCCTCTTTTGGGTTCTCCTCCTGGGTTGTGATGTCACTGTGGTTACAATGTTACAACAGGACTTACCAGTTTCTTTCTTCTACAGCAAGGTCTATGTAGATTGCAGGTTGCAGTTTCAATGTTTCTATGACTACCCTGTATCTATATTTCCTATTTTTCTTTTTGTCAATTTCAATGACTACACCACCAACAGGTTCAAGGGTGTGAAGTTGTTCATTGTTCACACTATCCTCCTAAGAATATAAACCAACACTCATCTATGGCTTCTTTTATAATAGTATTTGTTGTGCCTTTAAAAACCTTCATTTTAGTAGGTATTCATCTATTTTATTAATCTGAGCTAAGTGTCACTTTGTCCTGTCCATTCAAACCACTCAACCATACTGACTTTGGCTCTCCTTCCACGCTGAGTGTATGCCAACGTTCTTTGTAACTTCTGAAGGGCAAACCTGCTTCATTAATTTCCTAAGTGATTTCTTTTCCAATATTCACATGTAAGGACACAGAGCCTCTCCACTAAGAACCAAAGACTTTAGCAGTCTTCTAACTCTTTCGAAAACGTAGCCTTTTCTTCCTGGTTTAAAATTTAGCTTTAAACATTGTTACATATTCATCCTTTGCAATTATTGTATATTATTCTGTTGCACAATGAAAAAGAAAAGGCGATCTGGAGATAGCATCTCTTTGCCATTTTTGATAGTCCCTGCAGTCTCAGTCCCTGGGTTGTCTCAGCACCCTTGCTGCCCACAGGTCTCAGACAGTGGGTGTGGACACAACTGGGAAGGGCTGTTCTAGAAGCTTCCGGTAGCAGCTCTGTTGTGAAAACCAACTGTTGGAAGCCTTTGCCAATTCACAGAGAAATACAGTTACTAGGGAAAAGGCTTTGTTTTTTATCCCATAAATTTTTCTTAAAGATGGCTGCTCCCAGCCTGCGTTTCCCTGACACAATGATCAGGCAGTCTCAAAGGAGACTGTGCTCAGAATGCACTTCCCTGAAGTTTGCTCACAAACGTGCTTTCATATCAGGCATCTTCTATGCAGTTGTTTTTGCTACTGAGATGGTCTCTATGACAAATAACGGAATTATCAGGAGCCTAAATGAGGTTGGCCCAGGATCAGGCAGTGTTTCGTTTTGCTGTGCATAAGGTTGCAATGAGTCGGTACGGACGCGATGGCACCTAACAACAACAACATGTTTTCATGAGCCGCTCTGCTGGGCTCCACGCTCTGCCTTCAGTACAAGGCGAGGAAGGCAGCTCATGATTATGAGACTGGTAAGCAAAGGGGGAGAAGAATGAAACTTTCATGCTGCCATTTCTAAGGGAACTCTCCCTCTCTGGGGAGCCAAGAAGTAGCTGAGAGGACATGCCTCTCCAGACACGGGTTCTGTGAAGCTGGGTATAGGGGAACCTCACCATTCATTGTACACACACTCTCATGTAATGGCAAGCCCAGGCGTGTCGTCACTGCATGACATGATCTATAGTGACCTGACCCCAACAGGATTCTAGGACCCAACGGAAATGAGATCACTCAGGTACATGGAAGACAGAGCAACATCCAGACTAGGAAACTCTATGGGCCAAATGCCCCAGTTTCTATAATACACACATTCCAAGAAAAAAAGAGATGGAAGGTGGAGCCCATTGATTAATGCAATACTTAGATTCATACGCCCATCTCCAATGTGTGGACCAGATTCATTGGCTTGATTCAAACCAATGGCACAAAACACAGAACCTGGAAACTGAGAAGCCCAAATGCTGACCTCCCACCAATGGCGCTGGAGGGCTTACTTACTGCTGGTGTTTCAGGTATGACACTGATCTGTGATGAAATGAAAATAACACAGCCTTCAATATAGATCATACCTCACTGTAAACAAAAATCCTCACAACTAAACCAATCAACATCATCATGATCAATGACGAAAAGACTGCAGTTGTCAAAGACTTCAACTTTACTTTGCTTGGATCTGCAATCAACACTCACAGAAGCAGCAGTTAAGAAATCAAACAATGTATTGCACTAGGCCAATCGGCCGCATTAAAGTGTTCAAGAGCAAAGATACCTGTTAGAAGACTAAGGGGTGCCTGACCCAAGTTATGGTATTTTCCATTGCTTCATAGGCATGTGAAAGTTGGACAATGAGGAAGAACGTAGAAGAATTGATGTATTTGAGTTATGGTGCTGGAGAAGAATATTAACAATACCATGGACTGCCAGAAGAATAAACAAACCTGTCTTGGAAGAAGAACGGATAGAATGCTCCTTAGAAGCCAAAATGGTGAGACTTTGTCTCTCATATGTCAGACATGTTATTAGGAGGGTCAGGGAAAAAGAAGAAGACCCCCAACAAGTTGGACTGACACAGTGGCTCTATTTTCACAACAGTGAGCACAGTGCAGGACTGGGTGGTGTTCTGTTCTGTTGTGCAATAAGGTCACTATGAGTCAGAACAGACTCAACAGCAGCTGTGAGTACTGGACAAGCCCGCCCTGGAGACCCACACAGGGGGATTTATGAATGAATGAGGACCACATGAAAGCTGGGGTCGCCGTTGTGTTTGTTTTCCAACTCATCGTGACCCACGTGCAACGGTTGAAACACGGCCTGGTTGGCGCTGCACCACCCTCACATCACGGCTGTTTGGTTCATTGCTGCAATCTCGGTCTCAGTCCATGTCATTGAGGACCTTCTTCTTTTAGGCCGACCCCCCACCACCAACCCACACACTTTTCTAAGCCTGAGGTCCTTCTTCAGGAACTGGTCCCACCTGAGAACATGCCCAAAGAATGAGAGACAAAGTCTGGCCATTTTGTTCCTAGTTGTATTTCTTCCAAAAACTTATTTGCTTTTCTAGCGGTCTACAGCACAACCAATTCTCTTCCCCCAAACTGCAATCCAAAGGCATCAATGATTTGCCAATGTTTTTTTTTTTTTTTTTTTTTTTACATCATCCAAATTTTGCACACATACGAGGTAATGGAAAATAACCTGGCTTGGGCCGGGCACACTTTAGTCCTCAAAACTGACCCCTTTGACCAGAGATGGAGGCAGAGATGATAGCATGGAAAGATACAGCAGCTGAGGACTCTAGACTCATGGAAAGAGAAAGGCTGTGTGCTGGTGGCCAGGAGGCAGGCTTGCAGAATGTGCCCTTGGGTTATTTAAATGATTATA